CCCTCCTACTCCTATCTGCACCATGATACCACTTCTGTTACTGACCCCCAAGAGTACGACCCCCCATGACCAGCCCAACAGGTACGACCCCCCTGTCGAGGATTTCCTCGACCGATATTCACCCTGTCATCGTTTACCTTTAGGCATGTTCCTCAAAACTAATGTAACAAACTTAGGAATGAGTCCCGCGTGCGCAGAATATGATGACATTAATCTTATGCCAAATGTGACCTGTGGGGACTCCGTGGGCCACATACGGCCCACGAGGTCCCCGTGGCATGCAGAGGGTCGCAAAAGCCGCACACAGTCGTCGGTGAAAGAGCAAAAAATTTTTTAGGATATTTCGCAAACGTTCAAATTCAGGTAATGATCAACGCTGATTCCCATTGACCTCATTTTTGACAACCTTTGAAAATTGTTTTATCAAGTACGGACTGATCACCAACTCTTTCTATACAAATGAGTTACTACAAATGGATAAAACAATACATGGATGATACCGATAAATAAAATAATTACCATTTACAGCTGTTAAACAAAAACCACAGTGAGGGTACGGGTTTTTAGGCAGAAATGAATGACTGATTATTTCAACATAACATTTGGATTGGAATGGAAAGACCAGCTCAAGATTTTTGGCAGATTCTTTATAATTCAACATCACATCGTTGAGCTACCCAATCTCTTACTATCAAATACAACTCCTTTTTCGCTTCTTCTGAAACCAGTCGGCGTGCCGGCTGCTTCAGTTCTTCGTATAACATTTCCAAGTTCACGTTGTCCACACCACGCTCCTTGATCATTCGTCGAGCCATTGCTTTTACCTGAAACAAAGGTTTGCACCTCAGGGCATGAGAATTATCGAGTCAAGCACCAGGGACTGACCCACTGAACATTTTATGAAAAATCATCCCAGTAACGCTGTGTAATTGCCTACTGCGAGTCATGAGCGTGTTTCTTCTGAATCCATCTAATTGTACGTTGATTATGCTAACCAAGTCTGTATTATACCATAATACCCTCAAGTGGACTACTAGCATGCTTGCCTGCACTTAATCTATAACCATCTACTAATGAGAACAAATGCAGTAACGAAGACGGAAAGAGTACAACGGAGGAGGATTTCTATTTCCTACCATCACTAAAATGAAGTGATAAACTAACAGGGCCGGTTACACTCCCTGTTCAGAAACCTGGTAAGACGCAAGAAACCTATTCGAAGTCTACGCCCACCTTGCCGTTGACCCTTGGTAATAGGCTAGAGAACTTTATCACAACACTTAAAAGTTTTGCGCACCTACAAGCAACGAGACCCAGCGGCCCTTACCTTCGACACTATGGTGCGGAAGTCATGTGGTAGCTCTAGTCAAGAACGAAAAGCCAGAAGTGTGAAGTGTCACTGAACAAAAAACTCCACTTGGAAAGTCGCTAGAAAGGGAGTTGAACGCTTTCGAAGTGGGCGTAAACGCAAATCTGCCGCAACGTCCACTTGCCAGAAGTGGAGATCGCGTGCTTCAATGCGGGCCCTTTGCGCACTCTGCCGCGTTTCAAAATAAATGCTTCTTCTTTTGGTTGATTTATTGTTTACTTCATTTAATTGTGGTTTTCCCTGGTTTGTACTGATGCATATGTCTCGGCTTGTCTTGGTGCATATGCGATTACAGTCTGGCACGAGCCAGCAGTGAATGCCGGTGGAGCAAGATAGTTGGGACAGCTCGTCCGACACGCCTCTTCCTTCAGGTCTGAAAGGGTGAATAGGGGGGTCCCTTTGAAGGCTTCATCGGCGGTTTTCTTTGCTTTTTTATTAGCCGTCAACTCGCCATCTAGAACTTCATTATCGACCGTTTTTCTTCCTCACGCGAATTCGATCTGGAATTGTTGCTTAAAGGGCGTCCAGTCCGTCCTTAATGAATACCAATAACCCGACCCACATCAATTCGATAAACAGCCAACAGAGAGGAAAGAATGGGGGGAAAGAAGAGAATGGAGACCGTGAGTCGCTGTATCTTCACTAATTATGGCCGATTTCGGCTTGAATCAGGCAGACAAAGTTATATTAAATTAAGAGTTGCAGTTAAAAATTACCATTGCAAGCTCTTAAAGGCAGAGTTGTCGTCATCAAGCAAGCTAGGAAGTACCCTATTGTTTGCCTGGGCCTGACTACTAGCTGCATTATTCTTCTGGATAAACACGTTATGTTGACCAGACCGAACCTATCCTCGACAGAGCAGTTGGTAACGCACTTACTCTGCAAGGGAGCATCAACAGTGTGTTCCGTCCGTTCGGCTCCGCGCAGTAATATTTGTACAATAACTCACCTCAGTAACCCAACCGTCCTTTCGTAATCGAGCAACCAGAACTTCTTTAGCTCTTTCCTTCTCACCGAGAGCTTGAGAACTCTAATTCAAGATCTTCTTTCGTTTTTATACCATTCCATTTCGTCTGAAAAAACTCATGCTTAGCTACCAATAAGAAAACAAACAAGCTCAACCCGCTTAAGCACACGCAGCTAAAGTTGAGGACTTTGAACTCTATACAAACTTTCACTCAATATGGAATAGTTTATTAAGGGCAACAATAAACATTACAAGAAATAATGCTTCGTGAAAACGACATCAATAAAACAACAACAAAAACAACAAGAGAACAATGTATCATACATCAACAACTCAATTTTCTAGGAAATCTAATGAGCTTTACGAAGTTTGCTTCTTGAACCGAACTTTGTTCTGTTTTTAGCTTTTGAACCACTCCTCTGAATTTTCGATTTCTTCAAAATTTTCTTAGGCTTTGTGACTGTTGGCGCAGAAGACTCCTCTTCATCATGTTCTCCTTCGCCATCCAGTCGAGGTTTTTTGGTGTTACACCGCTCATTCAAGCGAGCTTTTCTGAATAAAACAGTAAGTACGAATGCGGTAACGAGCTGAGAAGATTGGAAAATGGAAGTATCAGAAGATCGACAAATCAAATTTCAATCGTAGGGAAAATGTTCAATTTTTTATAGAAAGAAAATTCACAGCCAACCTCACCTCTTCTCCATTTTCATCCGTTGCCGTTCCAACACAACTTCTTCCTGCAGTTTCTTCAGTTTGAGCGCAGCCTCGTCAATGTCTTTTGAAGTTAATTCCTTTAATTGAAATCTTCAGAGGAACCTTACGGATCCACAAAGCTGTTGAATGTGATATGTGAAAGTATCACTTTATTGAGAATCCGAAAAAAAAGCTTCTCAAATTCAAATCCATGAACTGAACTCACAATTTCCGGTACCGGAGGCTCAAAATGGTAAGGATCACACCCCTTCGCTGCCTGGTCAAATCTAGAAAAACTAGCTACACTTCAAAGACATGATGTTTTGTGAGATTGGTTAACAACTTACCTTTTGACTAGGTCATACAGCTTTCTACGTCGTCTAGAAATAGTTTCCGGCTTCTTACCTATGTCGAATAACATTTTACCCAAGGCAGCGTAATCAAACTGAAATAGTCGGAAAAAAAGCTGAGGAGGAAGTGAAGAGACATAGAAACTATGATGCAATGTGCTACCTGAATCCCTGCAGACTCCTCGTCTACATCCCCATCAGTCTCCATTTTTGAAGCAATCTCTTCCGATTTCTGATGCAGTATCGTAGCAAATACTTCCTCAGATATTGAGTCAAAGAGATAATCGCTGGAAGGCATTGACATTCAAACACTGAGTACAACAACCAACGAGCCAAACGTTCAGAAAATCAAACATTCAGTCCACTCAATTCAAAGGTTTCGGAAATTCAGAACAAATTAAGAAAGAAATTCAGAACAAACTTCATACCTGATGCCACGGATGCCTAGAAGATCTGCGAAAGGTTTGAGGCAGGCCGTTATTTGTTTCTTAGTGATACCACCTTAACAACAAATATCAGGAAATTAGTGCTAATCTGTTTTTTCAAGAGTTTTCATGTAGAGTTACGAGAACTGATGACATCTCTCAAGAGTAACACTCGATAGAAGCGCTAATTTCGATGAAACTTCCAAATATTTACTGAAAAAGAAAACTAACAAATCGTAGCTTCCGAATAAACTACACACTAAAACTTTTACATTTTTAGTTGACATGCTGTGTGCGAAATTGAGCGAAAACTTCAGAACGAACTGCAATCGCTTTTTACAACTGGAAGCGATATCATTGAAAAGAAAATCACAAACGCCCACCTGCGTTGTCCATCTCGTCAAGAATAATGGCAGCGAAGTGGAACTTCAACCCATCGGGGAAAGATCTTATCTAAATATGTGACTTCAAGTACTTAATTAAAAGGGCAAGTGGAAAAGAAGAAGTGAAGTGCAGACCAGTTGAGATTGTAGTCCGACTAAAAGCTGCCCAATACGGTTCGCGAAAAGATTTCTTCCACTGGAGAGAGCTCAGGTGAGTAAACAACACTCGGAGAACTCGGCGCATCATCTAAAACCGAAGGAAGTTGCATAATAACCACCACTAGGTGGTGGACCTGAGGAGATCGAAAACTGCATGAAAAACCAGAATATAATAGTCGTAGTTGCCACGAATTATTGGCATTCAATCTTGCTCAACAATGAGCACTACCTCAGCTGAGCTGGATAGAATGAAAAATAAAAGAAGATGGCATTGGCGTGAAGAGACGGAGAACGAGTCAGACAATTTCATGACCTTTGCTTTCTCTCATACTTTGGTAATCTTGGGATGCATTTGGAGTAATTACGGCAAAGTTGACGAAAAAATGCAAGAACCAGCAGTAAGTTCTAATGATTGAGGAGAAATGGTATGGTATGGCACACGCTAGACAATTACCAAAAAAGGTCTAACATTTTCTTTCAAAGAACTTACCATCAGAAACTTGTCCATACGCCACCGATCTATGTGATTCCATTCCTTAGCCAAACTTCTGAATATAGATTCAACGAAAAGTACACGTTCTTCCTCTCTAGTGAACACAAGTTGGAGCTGACTAATCCTATCTGCCAGCTCTTCCTAAACGAACAAACAGTAAAAATGTTCTGATTCATGGAAAACGGTCCATCAAGTTCTTAAATTGCCAGAACAGGTAATTCGTCGACCAACTATCACGAAGTTAAAACAGGTGAAATCAAAAAAAAGCTTTTCATTTCGAAATTGGAGCGCAAATCAAGATTGGAAGTCTTTCCACTACAAGTATTCCGCATTTTTATAACTTTAAACACATTTGACTCGGTCTCATTGAACACTGGAAGTCCCCATAAGTTGACACTAGGAATTAGCGCCAACCTTCATTTGAATTATTTCTTTCACAGTGGGATCAATGAAAAGCCAAGCAATTTCCAAGCAAGCCTCTCGAAATGTTGAGCGGGAAACTCGTCTGGCGATCTATTTCACGTTCGAATCAGCGATTACGATAGATCTCAAAGGGGTTTAGAGGGGACGTGGGGGTCTCAATAGTACGCCAATGGCGAAAAAAGCAAAGAAATCCGTCAAAAATAAGCAAAATAGTACCCCTTTGATTGCCCTTTCATTTTCGACCATGGATGAGCGACGGTAAAGAATGACGTTGTTCGGACGTGTTACATAGTGTTTTGATTGATAAGGCATTACATGGGCAAGGTGGATGATACAGCCGATAAAAGGGAAACGATCTCCCAAAATGAAAAGCCAACAGCAGACAGCTCGCCCAAGTCATCATCTGAACAAGTGGGCGTAACGCTGCTGGAGGCGGAGTGCTGCGGAGGTCCTGCTCAGCAACCACAGCACCTTTCGCCGTGGAAGCGCCACACATCGCTTCCTTGGCAGCCAAGTAATTGCTCCGTGTGGCGCAGGTTCTCCCCGATGCGAAAATTCCTTATCGTAGTCGCTTTCTTTAATCCGAAATATTATTAAACAACCAGTACCTGCAGCAGCATTTTGTCTTGCATCCACAGCACATAATGGAGACCTTTACATAATCGAAGCATGTCCGCTTCATTGAAAGCTGAAAATATAACTGGTATATAAAAGCAATGAAACAAATTTGTTTGGACCTCAGAACCCACGTCGTACTGCTGATTGCTGCTTGATCCAATCTTGTAAGGTTCGGAAAGCTCGCTGTCGAGTGACCGGCTCACCACATGCTAATTTCTGAGCAAAAATCACCTCAACACTTGTCAAATCGGCTTCCATTACCTTGAAAACAAAAATATTACTATCGAAGGCACCTCGACAGCTAAGATAAGGCGTTAGATCAAACTAGGAGAGAAGCGGTTAAAAAACCAAAAATACAAACACGTCCAATCAATGCATAAGTGAGCTAAACAATAATACTATGTACGGGGGTTCATGAGGTTCATTTCGCGTGCTATTTAAAATTACGAGCACTTTTGTCGGTGAACTAATAACGTGTGGTGCAAATGCGTAGCATACCGGAGATTTCACGAGTGATGCTTCTTCACATTTCACTATTAATACTGAACACAGCCAAACCTCTGTGGGGCACTCTGATGAATGTCCAGCATGTTGAAGCGAAGCGGATCTTCTATCCATGTCGAATGGGTCGCCTTTGGCTGTAATATTGCCCAATCGGGCTTCATCGGGCTTTCTGCTGCCCATTAGATTTCCCTGTTTTTTTCTTGACTATACATTTTCAGAGCTCTTTTTCTCGCAAAATATTTTTTTGTAAAGACCAAAAAAGAAACTAAGAAGATGTCATTCACTCCAGCTCAGCTTCCTTACTCCTGGCTAGGTGCCTTAACCCCAACTTATTAAATGTTCGCTTCGTGTTGCGTTATATCTCACTTCCGCGAGGAAGGATTTCATGTTGTTTTCTGCTCTGTGAGCTGTTGTTGTGTTGCTTGTTCTTGCTTTTCCCTATACTAACACGTACTTCGGATTGTCCTACCACCGCTGGCATATTGGATGTCGTCCTCGTGGGCGACCAACGACTTCCAAACGCGGAGTACTACCCAATCTATCCCTCGCCGGCAAACGTGAAGACAGGGCCGCTGCGCCTCTTTCCCAAACAGAAGAAGTATGTTATTTTATTTATGCTTGACAAATGATTGATGCAGCAGAAAAGCATTCCTGTTTTGTGTGAAGGAGAGGGGAGGGGAGGGGGTTTCTAGGACAGAAAGCGACTTTTTCGCTGCGAGATTCTTAGCCTCCATTAATGAGGAGTGGACATGAGGTTCTTGCCGCAGGAAAGATTTTACGTGCTTTCTGTCCTAGCGATCCACACCCGGGGCCGTATTCAATCCTTCCCCCAGGGGGATACGTCCCCCTCCTCTGATTCAATCCTCCCCAATTGTCTCCCCCAAAACTGGGATCCATTCAACGATCCCAGTTTTGGGGGAGACAAAAAAGGTTGCATCATAGGACCGCCATACCTCTGTGTTTCTATCTTTCTATCCGTCCACCCTCCACTGTTGACGCGCTGCTCTAACTGTCTGGCAGATAGAAACACAGAGGTATGGAGGTCCTATGACGCAACCCTTTTTTGTCCCCCCAGAGGGAGGATTGAATCAGAGGAGGGGGATATATCCCCCTGGGGGAAGGATTGAATACCGCCCCAGGGAGGAGTATGGGGCGCTTCAAAAAATAGCTGAACAAATTCTCTATCGCATCGAAGACTTCAAATTCGGAGGCTACTTCATGGTTCGTGTTGGCTTATAGTAATGTTTCAATACATTTCAGAAATGAGCGTCATCCACACCGTGGAGGTAGAGGCCGTGGCCGAGGAAAAGATGGAGGCAAAGAACGTCCTGGTCTGATTGAATGTGCTGGTATTTTCTCTGAAGGTCTCAGCGGCGCTGATCCCGGTCGACGTGTGAAACCAGCAAAGGTTGAACTGGGTGATGGAGGTGCGTCGTTAGTAAGACATATTTCTCTTTCTAGTCCATGCTCCTATAAAGTCAATACATTTTACGCTGTGCTAAAGTTTAAGGATTAGGCACTATTTATCCTTCTGCCCCACTCTCGAAAACTGAGCCGGATTTTATCGAAATTTATCCATGACTGTTTGGCTAGAAACTTGCCTCCAGGGGTAATTTGACCCGTAGAACACGAATATCATATCGGTTTAGCGCGAAAACGCTTGGTACCTGCGCCACAGGTGCAGGCACCAAAAGATGCCAGAATAGAGAACATGAATATCACATTAGTTTATTGCTTAAGAGCCTGTAGCCTACGCTACAGGTGCGGCGCCAAAACTGATTTGATAGCGCCGGCGCCTGTGGCGCGGGCGCCAAGCGTTGTCGCGCTAAACCGGTGTGATATTCGTGTTCTACGGGTCGAAATACCCCTGAAGGCAAGTTTCTAGCCAAATCCTCAGTCATGGACGAATTTCGATCAAAATCCGGCTCAGTTCTTGAGGAGTGGGGCAGTAAAGGGTAAATAGTGCAGAAGATTTTATGCCACTCGTCCTGACAAGACCTCTTCAAGTGTCTATTCTTGTGAATTATTACAGTTTTAGTTGTTACTGGTCGTGTGAAAGAGGAAACAGTGCCTATGGATGAAGATCGAAAAGTTGGCAAGGTTCTCTCGGCTTATGCTGGCTACGACGAGCTCTGGGAAAGTGATGATGACGGAGACATGCAGGAGCTCAGCGAGCTTCTCAGGGATGGTGTACGTAATCCTCTCTCTTTTTGTTTCATTTGACATGAATTAGCATTTCCAGTACAAGCATGGTACCGTAATACCGTGCGATGTGCTTCCTCGAACTTCTGAAATTCTTGAAGAGGAAGAGGCTTCGAAAGCTGAAATCGACATCGATATCAAGGAAAACATAATGGAGTGAGTCGATTTTCTTTATAGATATCGCTATTGTTATTGTTGTATTTGAAAAAATTGTGTTTATACTCTTGCAACTTCGCTGAACTTCAGAGAAAGTGGTGCTGAAAACGAAATGGAAGAGGAAAGCCCCACATCAAAACATAGTCGAAAAGCCGCACGGATTTTGAAAAATGTTCTTACAACTGGTACTGTCATTCTTTTCTTCGGAGATAGTTATAATGTGAAACATTTTTCATTTGATTCCGCTTGGCGCATTGAGTTTCGTGTCATTTTGTTGTAGTTCTCTGAGCATCGTTTGTTAGTATGTATAGCATGGCGTGGCCTTACTTATATTCCGAAAGTGGCACGGCAAGACATTTATCGTTTCTTGAGCTACACACTCTTTTGGCCCCAGAAAATTGTTCAGTTTATGCCGTTGAAGAACTTCGTTGAGATTGTTGGGTTCTTGAGCCTCTGCCCATGGGCGTTGCCCTACTTTTGAAGCTTTCTTTTCTTTGCAGTGACGGTCATCTGACGGATGCTTACCTATTTTCGGTAACAAGGTCGATTTCAGAGAGGCGTGAAGACGAACTCTTCATGCTACAGTTGCCTGGAATTCTGAAGGTTCTCAGTCAAGAAAGGCCATCGGAAGACAAAGTCATTTTCAATAATAGCCGACCAAATGGTAACGCTAAGCTGGTGGGTTCGGTTGTCCTCTTCACTAACCCGAGTCTTCCAATTCTACATTTTCTTCGAACATTGACCATTACAGGATGGAATTGACGGGAGATCAGTGCAAGACCCAAGTGAGAACGTTACAGTGGAACAGTTGAGTCTACCAACTGGACGATCCATTGGTAAATTAGTGATTACAAAAGATGGTCGAGTACAGCTAAAGGCTGGTGGTCATATAATGGACGTAGCGCACACTGCATCGGAAGGTCAGCATCAGGTAGGACGATTCTTGGTATTTCGAGTACAAACCTTTTTGTTTACAAAACCAACTTTTTTTTAAATCAAGTCCTTCGTTTTGCTTTGAGACCTCAGATACGCTAGTGGCCGATGTCAAACTTTGCGATTGGAGCGATTCACTATCTCCAATCGCAAAGCGTGACATCGGCCAGCCTTGGCCACAAACAGCTTCGCAATTCCTCAAATTGAGCCTACCTAACATTTGAGATCAGAAAGTCGTACCTGAAGCCAGGAAATCCTGAATAGTGTTTCTTTAGGCATCTGCGCCCTCTTTTGTTGCCACGGGGATCAACAATGTTTTATTCGATGCGTTAGACATTCAGAACTCTACCCAGATAGCCCTGCATCTAACAAAATCTTCTTTCAAGAGCGTGGTGATGGTAGAAACTACTCCTCACTATGGTGAAGGTTATGCGATGCACAACGGGAACGGGCAATACGGGATTCTTATGGACGAGTTAGTGGGGATCATAATGCTATTTATCATTTGGGAAACGTTCGTCACCATTTCACGGCATCATTGGATTGGAATCAGTTGAGACCTGTCGGGATGGAGGTTTGTTTTCGTTTCTGAAGTTTCCATAGTATGAGTGTTTTGCAATAGTATTTCGTAGTCAGTCAGTGCGGTTCTTAACGGATCTTGCGATTCTTTTGTCAGAATATTTTAAGGGTTCCGTGAAGCCATTTGTGAATGAAGTACTGCGCGTAAACGATGTTTTCAGAACACGTCGACAACTTCAGCTGATGTGGTTGTATCACCGTCGAAAAAACAGAAACCGGCAGAATTAGACAGCATAAGGAAGGAGTTGAAGGAATTGCAACAGCAACGATCAAAGCAAATTGCTGCAGCTTTGAAGCGGTGGAAGGCGTAGAGCTTTGTTATTTTCTTGTATAGCTTTTCTTTCATTCTCAAGAATTGTGTTGCACATTCCAATCTATATCGAACCTGTTTGCCGGCGAATGGACTTCCCAGGGTGTTCCCAAGAGGCCCGTCGCGCGGCGAAGAAGAGACGCAGATGCGGCAAAGGACGAGTCGCAGCGCGTGCTGTGCGATATGAGACGTAGTATGGTACACTCTATTTAACCTGACGCCTAACCGCTACAGTATGCGCTGCGACTCGTCCTTTGCCGCGTCTGCGTCTCTTCCTTCGCCGCGCGATGGGCCTCTTGGGGACACCCGACTTCCCATGCTCCTAGGGGGCC